GAGCTATGACATGCACATCATGTTTATTGCAGTATTATTCACAATAGCGAAGAGAGGGAATGAGCCCAGGTAACCAGCAACAATTGAATGACTAGAGAAACTATGGTTGATTCACACAATGGAAGACTATGCTACACTGAAAAATAATGAACTCATAAAAATATTTCTTTTTAAAATTTTATTCTATTTTATTTACAAAGTTTGTATACATTGTTATTCACACTGTATCTTTCCCATTCCCCTCACATACCCCTCCCATGAAATTGTGTGACCCTACCCATCTTCACCTCTCTTCTCCCCCTTCTACCTCCCTTGGTTATTCATACTCATTCTATAAATAATGGTCTTATATAGTATTTGTCCTTATGGGACTGAGTTCATTCACTTGGCATAATGCTCTCCAGTCCTTCCCAAGTTAGGTAGTGATTTACAAAAATAATTGTCCTGGCCATGTGTAGCATTCCGTTGTATGAATGTACAATAATTTTTCAATCCATTTGATTGTGGTTGGACATCTGGGCTGTTTCCATGTTCTTGCAATAGTGAATAATGCTGTTATGAACATTGGTGTACAAGTCACCATTTGTGCCTCAGTTTTTATTTTCTTGGAGTACATTTTACAAAGTGGAATAGCTGGGTCACATGGAATTTCAATGTTCAGCTTCCTGAGGAAGTGCCAAACTGCTCTCCAGAGTAGTTGTACCATTTTGCAATCCCGGTAACAGTGTTTAAGAGTTCCTATCTCACCACATCCTCTTCAATATTTATTACTTGCTGCCCTGTTAAATGTTGCCACTGCTACTGGAGTGACTTGGTAGTTTATGGTGGTCTTGCTTTGCAACTCTCTTATTGCCATTAATTTTGAGCATTTCTTTAGGTGTCTGTTGGCCATTCGAATCTCTTCCTCTATGAAAATTCTTTCCATATCTTTTGCCCATTTCATATTTATGTTATCAGTCATTTTATTGTGTAGGCCCTATAGGATTTTGTAAACAGTTGGTATGAGACCTTTGAAATGGTACTGCCAAATGTTTTTCCACAATCATTAGGTTTTCTTTCCAGTCTACTGGGGAAAGTTTTTGTTGCACACAGGGATTTGGTCTTTAGAAGGTTCCATTCATCAATTTTATCCTCTCCAGACTGAGCATTTCTGACTATAATTTTTTGAAAAATATTCTTTTAAAAATTTTTTTAATTTTAATTTTCATTTACAGAGATTTTGGATCTCCATTCATGCATTGTTGCATTTTTCTCCCTGCCCACTGCAATCTCCCCGCCACCCCCCACCCACCCCAGTTCGCTCTTCTCTTGGAGAAGTATAAGAAAAATTATTTTATTGGTATACAATCCCCCTACCCCACATCAAGTACATTCCACTATGCCGCCTTCATTCTGGACTCTTCTCATGACCATAGTACCCAATCATATATCACTTTCAAACTGTTCTTTCCCTCATCTGTTTCAAGACAGTATACATAATTTATCCAATTTTTCTCACTCTCACTCCAACCCTGATGTCAATCCTTTTCTACAACAGTGGCACTATGCAGTATTTGTCCTTTTGTGACTGAGATATTTCACTCAGCATAATATCTTCCAAGTTCATCCATTTTGAATAATATTGCATGAGTTCCTTGTTTTCAATACAGCATAGTATTACATTGTGTGAATATACCACAGCTTCTCTATCCATTCGGTTATTGATGGGCACTAGGGTTGTTTCCAACTCTTTGCTTTGTTTATGAACAAAGCCGCTATAAACATGGGAGTGCATATATCTGCCTGAGTCACAGTTATGGTTTCTTTGGTGTATATTCCCAGTAGAGGAAAGCTGGGTCACATGGTATTTCTATTTGCAACTTTTTGGGAAAGTGCCATACAGTCTTTGATAATGGTTGCACCATTTTACACTCCCACCAACAGGGAATAAGGGTTCCAGTTTCTTCACAACCTCGCCAGCATTTGTTGCTTGCTATTCTGTTAACTTTTGCTATTCTGACTAGGGTGAGATAATATCTCATAGTTGTTTTGATTTGCATTTCTCTTAGAGCTAGGGATTTTGAACATTTCTTCATATGCTTGTTGGCCATCTGAATGTCTTCTTTGGTGAAGTGTCTGTTCATATCCTGTGCCCATTTTTCAGTTGGATTGTTAATGATGATTGTCCTGATAAGAGACAATGACTTGATGAATTAGTCTACTTTGTTAATTTTTCCAATAGTTTCTCCCACTCTGTAGGTTCTTTTACCACTATTGTAATATGAATGAAAGTTTGCAAAGCTTGTTGGTTTTTATCCAATCCTTCATAAACATTGTCTTTCATAACATGAGTTACAATAACTGCAAATATTCAACTTCCTCCCTGTAATTCCCTTTGTCATGAATCCTTCTGTCCTACCCTTCAGGTCTTTTGTATAAGTCCATTTTTTTTTCTTCACCTCTTTTCACACTTACAAAAAGAGCAGTGAGGCTGTAATGGCAGCTGATGTGAGCAAGTGTATGTCCTGGTAATCTAAGTGTTCCCTCTTCAATTCCTCTCTTCGGTACATATGTTCATATTCTCATATGTTCATTCTCTTTCTCTTTTTCATTGCCATCAAGTCAGAACTGACTCATAGCTGACCCTGCGTTGGGTTTCCAAGGCTGTAAATCATATAAGAGGATATTGCCCATCTATATTCCTGGGAGATGCTGGTGGTTTTGAAATGCCAAAGAGGTACAACTTTTGGGGAAAGCGTGCAGCTCCCTATGGACTATGCCACCAGAGCTCGATGTATTATAGTATCTAGCAAACCTGAAAGGGAGCTCTGGTGGCCTAGTGTGGCAAGAAGATGCTTTGCAATCTTGTTCTAATCCATAAGCTGCTCCCTGGAGAAAGATGAGACATTTCCTCACAAGCAATTTACTGCATCTGAAAATCTACCAGAGGGTGAGCTATGGGTTGATTCTTACTCGATGGCATGCAACAACAAACCTGTGAAGCCATATGTGCGTGTGTAAGAGACTTAAATTGTCTTTGCATTACATCTGCAATGTCTAACACACTTCCTGGAACAGAAGGGTGGCTTAATAGGTGTCACAAGACAAGGTAAGACCAGCTGGGTTAGCCTGACCTCTCAAATACAAGCACCATCTCTGCCAAACTGGCAACCAGATGGTAGAGTCTTTTGGCAGCTTAGAAGCATGATAGTAATCTAGGTTTATTATATTGTCACATTGTGAGGGCTATTTGTTTTAAAAGGAAAAGAATTGTTTATAGATTTTGAAATTCTAGTCCAGCTCTGCCACTGTCCTTCCAAATCCACATCTTCCAATTAATGTGAGAAGCATATAGGCACCAATCTAACTTTGTGAAAAAGATACAATCTGTTAAATGGTTGGAACCTTATGTGAGGCTTTTAATGTGGGATACAGTTAATAAATAATAGAAGCTGTGAAGGCTGGAATTATTGGTAGAAGAAGAAGGTAAACATTTTAACATCATAAGATAATATTCAGTGTACATTTTTAGCCAGTTGGATATTAGAGATTAAGAAAAATGAAGATGCAATTTAAAGAAATAATAAAATTATAACTGTGTGGCTGGATTTTTGGATGATCTAATTAACCTCCAAAGAAGTGGAGAATTACTGTAAGACTTTATGTTTAAATTAATGTTTGCTTTTCAGTTCATCCTGCTTGTGGCATTTGTGAGGAGAGTTTAGTGAATTAGTAAACTTATCAAACCAAGTATATGTGACTCAAAAATAAATCCATCTTGAATACTTCTGAAAAGAGAAACCTTTCAAAAGTGAGCACTGAAGTTGAGCATATAGGACTGAAAGGGAAACACAAACTCCATATGAACACGAGAAAAGACAGGATTTGCTTGCAACTTGAGAAATTTAAGAGAGTTACAAGAATGCATTTTTACTAAAAAAAATAAATAAATAAAATGTTGAATCCTTACAGACAAGTAAAGATCTAGCCTCACCTAAGCAATTAGACTGTGACTTGGTAATACAGTCTTCAGGCTTGTGTGTTCCTGCTGAGGACAGACAATAGACCAGATGATCCTTGGAGTTCCTGTCCAAACCTGCAATTCAACTTCATACCTATCCTTTCAGCAGCTCTCTCCAAACTTAAAACTCCATGTCCTCTGAAGTCTTGCCACTGTAAAAACCCATCACAGAATGCTGAAAAATGGCTGGAGTTCTGAGTTCATTTAAAAGAAAAAATTTCTAAAAAGTCAAAGCTCATTGTTGTCAAGGTAGAATTAACTCATAGCTGACCCTTCATTGGGTTTCTGAGGGGAAGGAGGAGATTACCCATCTTTTTCCCTCAGAGCAGCTGGTGGATTCAAACCTTTAGAAAGGAAACACTTTGGAGTAAGCGATACAACTCTATGTACCATGCATCCAGAGTTCTTGAATTTAAAATTGTTGTTGTGAAGTGCCGTTAAGTCATAGACAACTCATAGCAACCCTATGAGAAAAAGACCTGAACACTTGTATAACTTTCATTATCTCCCCACGTTCATAGGGTTTCTGGAGGCAAGCTTTTTCAGAAGTTGATTCCACTCCTGTTTCCAAGCTTGCTTTAATCCGGGAGCTCCACCAAACACTGTCCACCATGGGTAACCATTCTCACATTTGACACATCAGTGTCACAGTGTTTAGCATCACAGCAACCAGGAGTTACCTCTGTACAGTAAATGGACAGACCAGTGCTATACCAATTAGAAGAATGTTTGACCAAAAACAATTAAAATCAGGCCTGAGGGCTGCAGATTAAAATCATCCACATTTGGCTTGGTAGCATAACTTTCTATCTACTAGGGCAACAGAGCTCTCTCTATTTTGTTGTTGTTAAATGCCATCGAGTCGTAGTTGACTCCTGGTGACCCTATGAATGAAAGACCTGAACACTATTACTATTTCCCCTTTGTACTACAAAGGTATTAGTTTTTAATACATGTATTCTGGGTTGCTTTAATTATTGTGTATTTTTTTCCCTCCTAGCAATTGGAAGCAGTAGCTTCAGTCCAAGACCAACGCATCAGTTTTCCCCACCACAGATTTATACTTCCAAGTAAGATGTATTTTCTCTTAATAGCTATTGTAAGTTTTTCTTTATTATAAATTTACTCTTACCTTACTTCAAGCCATGTTGCAGCCCCCATATTGCATCTCATTTTTCCTTTCATGAAAACTTAAAAGTGGTTTATGCAAAGTTATTTTGAGCTTTATCTAGTAGGGACAATAAATACTTCAGTACTTGGTATATTTGAAAGTTTTCCTTAGATACATATTCTTTAAGTGGGTTTTATGATATGGTTGTTGATAAGTTACCTTGCATGTGTCCATCTAATGCATGGGCTTTCTATTTTCTGTCATTTCTGACACATAGCAGACAATACCCACATATTCTCCCTACCCCTTCCTCACAAACTATGGCTGCATATGGGCAAACACAGTTTACCACAGGAATGCAACAAGCTACAGCGTATGCCACGTACCCACAGCCGGGACAGCCCTATGGAATTTCCTCCTATGGTGAGTAACCCACTGTGAGCGGCATTATCTAGTGAATATATATGTGTTTTTAAAAGTTTCACAGGAAAAGTAGCTCAAACTCTGTCTGTCTTGGGCCACTTTACAAAGTGCTGTCGCCTTTTGTGTCTGAATTTTTAATATGACTGTTCAATGTGAGAACAAAGTACTACTTATCCTGAGGTCAGAGGTGGCAAATAGATTGCGTGGTTTATATGCCCTTTTGCTCTCTTCCCCCCACCCTTTTATATCTCAACTCTTAATTTGCCATTTGAGTACTTGGATCTGGAATTCAAAATATTTTTTTGTGCATATTTGCGATAAAGCTTTGAATGAAGTCTTTTGGGGTAAAGATCCATTTCCTATTAATCAGATAGCTAACTGTGATTAGAGAAGTACAAGTGAAATTCAACAAACTCTTGTCCCAAGCTTGAGTGTGACACTCTTCTCAAATTTCAGTATTATTAACTATTAGGAAAAGTGATCTATATGCCACCGCCTGAGCTGTACTCTAAAGAGGGAAACCAGGAAAGGTTTAAAGCTCCCAGCTCCATTTGTTCCTTCCCACCTGGAGATTATCTTTATCTTCGTATAATTTAGTCCAATTGTTTTAGGATCAATACCTGTAAATTAAACATAAACTCAGCAAATCTCAACATCTGATTAAAAAAGAAAACCAAAAAACACCTGAGGATTTCAAAACACAGTTCCTTCAGCTGAACTTTAGTTGGCCTTCCCTTTTAAACATATTGAGCTAAATTGTAAAATATGAATTATTGGCATATTATTAAGAAAGTGAGACCAGCAATCAAGAAAAATATGTGAAAGTTTGTAAAAATAGATTGGAATTAGTATTAAAAAGCAACTTGGCTGTAATATTCATAGTAAGTGTGTAGTGAGCATCTACAAATAAGGCTTATTATATTGGAAATACCTGTAGCTCCCAAAGTATATCTAAAAATCACTGAGACAATGGTTATAAGATCTGCCTTGACACCTTTTCATTCTTCTAGTAATTTTGTGCTTTCATTTTGCAACCAATCTAATTAGGCTGTTAATGGTATTACTCTTTCATGATACTGTTAATGCGTATTGAAAAATATGCTCTTTTGAAGCATTTTATCAATAATTAAAAGGTATTTGTTCCTTTTAATTCATCACTTCTAACCAAAACCAAATTGACTTCTACAGATTTCTTATAAAATATGTACAAAGTAAAATCTAAATGGTGTATGACTTCATCCTTTAAGGATTTATTTCAGAGCTATCATCATTGAATGTTAGCTAGCTAAATGTTTTTGAATCAAACTTTAGAAGCAGAAGCAAAGTCAACATTAGAGCACAATCTATCATACACATAAAATTTATTCATAATTTCTCTTAAATACCATCTTAGATGCGATTCAAATTTATTTACGTGTGTATGGTACTCTTAAAACATTCTTAAATCAAAAGAAGAAAAATTATCCATGATTTTAATTGAATAGCTTCAATGATATTATATCAGTAATGGACTTTCCCTAGTTTATAGTCTCAAAAATTATTTTTAAGATAATCTTGAAACATAACTGTATTTCTGGTACAAAGAATGCTAAAGAACCCTGGACCCAGGTAAACCTTCACAAGCTAGCTTTCTTGTCGCATCCTTGACTCTCAGGTACACAATAGCTTCTCTCTCGCAATTCAGTCATGGTCAGACCTGGACCTCCCCCTGTGCAAATTTCTGGACTGTAGTGTAGGAAGTCCTCCAGTTCCAAACCGTAAATGAAAGTCTATGCTGTCTGCAATGGAATGCAAGTGGATGGGGTAAGCAGAGAGTCTTAGGATAGGGTCAGAGCTAATAGTAAGGATGAGTGGTTGGAATAGGAGGTGGTGGGAATCAAGCAGTGTGAGGTGCTTTGGTCCTGGAGCCTTTCATAGTGACACTTTTCCTGGAACTCAATCCTAGGGATTTTCTGATCACCTCTTTCCTTCCCTCGATGGACCTTGAGTACCAGGAAATGCCTCTACTGCTTCTGATCAGGGCGTCTTGCTGGCTTGGCTTGCAGTGCCTGAGGATGTATGATGCCACTTTCCCCTCCATCCCTTTCTTGTGAAAGAAGGACACACAATATGAAGTTATGAAATTACTGGCAGTCATAGTCACGATTCAAATGGTCTTAAAGGAATTTGTCAGAGGACTTTTGTCTCCTGATCTTATTATTTAGACCCTGTTAGAAAAGATTAAGGTAATTCAAGTGACTTACTGGTAAGGGATTGTGCTGCCAACCCAAAGGCATGTGGTTCAAATCCATAATGGCTGTGAAAAACATGGGCAGTTCCTTCCCATGTGATTTACTTCCTCTGAAAACCCCTGGAGGGTCACCTATGTGTCGGTTCTAACTTGACGATCTATAACCATAAGAGCAAAGGTTCAAAATAATGAAAATGAAGGAAAAGATACAGAAATAGGGGGTTTTGCTGTGGATAGGTGAATAGGGAAGAAGAATAACAATCCTTGCCATTCTTCCCTGGATTATCTTAGAGCTAAAAAATGAGATGAATTTTCGATCTTGTGGATAGAAGCCCTGGAGATAGATGTGATTAAGGTTGCTTACTACCCTTCATTTACTGCTATTTTATCATAGAGAGAATAGTAATAGCTTGGGCCTCCAAGCTGAAAATAAAGAAGTATAGATGCAGTATAGACGTGCTATACATCTTCTGAAGGAGATCATCATTGCTTCAGATGGAGAGAGAAAGAAAGTTTAAACTAATAGTAGTAACATTGGAAGAAGGTGTCTGATTAGAAACCCACCCCCAGGCTTGGACAGGTGCTTCAGGAACTGTTAGTATGGACATATTCTTCTTTAGTTTGAGATCCCCTGTACAATGAAAAGCACATTTTGTTAATGTCAAGTTTTAAAGGGTGAGGTCACTATGAGGTTATTTAGAGATACTGCAGGAATTAGAGTAGCCTCTCTCAGCCAAGAGCTGGATTCTTCCACCGCCTTAGGAAAGCTACCTAACTTCATTCTCCTGGTGAAAATCCCCTAAAATGGAAGTAAACAGTGAGACTACTGTGTATTTTAGATCCTAAAGATACTATTTATCTTAAGCATGAAGTGAAATTATTAAAAAATGTGAATTCCCTTGGCAGAAATGTTCCTCCCCTTCTGCGGGCGTTAAGGACAGTTGTTAACTTTCATCACTGTCTTTAATTATGACCCAGGGCTGAGCCCTGTGTAAGACTTCTGCTAAACCCAAGTCCTGAAATTAGGATGTCAACCCAAGTACTGCAATTAGGTTATCAGCTTAGAGCTTTGCGGAGTCTTTTAGGGCCACACATACATTCTTTTTATGTACTACCATATTTTTATATTCTTGTTGTTAGAACCTGCCGAGTCAACTACTTACTCCTTGTAGCAACTCTATAACCCTCAGATCCAAACCTTGCCCTGACTCGCACCATTGTCATGATCTCCTTTATGCTCAAGGCCGTAGTGTTCGTCACTGGCTCGGTCCAGCTGACTGAGGGTCTTCCTCTCTTTTGCTCACCCTCTACTTTTATCAAGTGTCTAGGGATATTATCTAAAAATAATAGACATTATAAAGGCTGCTCTCATATGTTTTTAAATCACTCTGCTCTTTTATAGGATTCAGATTCCTTAGTATTCTTTCTTTGTCTCTATTTATCGATGGGCTTTCTATATATAGGAGGTGGAGATCCCTGTGTTGACTTCATTTACCTTCAAAATGACTTGTGTCTATAATTGGCTTTGTAAAGAGTAAAAATAAAAAAGAAAGAAATGGCTAGTTACATTTTAAATATTAGATTTTATATTTTAGTACTAATCAATGTAGCAACTGTTGAAATAGTTTAAGATTAATTATAGTCATATATTTTACTCTAAAGTAAATAATTTTAAACCTTTATAATACAATGAAATAAGATCTATCTGTATATATGATATAAATTGACTATATTTTCTGGAACACTAGATTGGAAAAGAAAAAACGTGGTTTATAGACATCTCTGAAATGAGTCTGGGTTTTAAATCAAAACTGAATTTCTTAGTAATTTGCACTAAGCATGTGTACCATTTGTACATTTACAAGGCATTTGTGAGAGTAGTGTGTGTGTGTGTGTGTGTGTGTGTGCATGTTATGTGTATGTTTTGTGTATTTACCTTGAAAATGAACAGATAGATAAGCTATCACTAACTGATTTAGGTGCATTGTGGGCAGGCATCAAGACTGAAGGTGGATTGTCGCAGTCTCAGTCACCGGGACAGACAGGATTTCTCAGCTATGGTACCAGCTTTAGTACTCCTCAACCTGGACAGGCACCCTACAGCTACCAGATGCAAGGTCTGTATACACACTGACACTGCTTGTTTTCCTTAACCCTGTGGCTCACGCTTCATTTCTAAAGTAGAATCTGATGTCCTTAGGTGATGGTAGAAAGGGGACTGGCTTATATTTGGCTTACCAAATCTTTGAGCCAGAATTTTTATTTGTGCATCATCAAGGAGTGAAATGAAATGATCTCTAAGGTTCTTTTCCTCATGCTCTAAGAATTTGTGTGAAGTGTTAGTTTTCTAATTTGTTTTTACAATTAAAATTATAATAAAGACAAAATAGAGCCACACATGTAAGAGGTGGTATGGTATATGCAACAAGCTTCTGCATTTGAGATCACAAGCGAGAGTTTTCTAAAAAGAGTATTTTCTTCATTTTTCTTGTGGGAACGAATCACAGCTCTAAACCTGTGATATATGGGGCTGTATAACAATGAAAGGACTTTTTTTCCCAAAAATAAAAGTGAACTGGGGCGAGAGGAGGTAGGGAGGAAAATGTACAACAATGAATGAATGAATATCCAGTTCTTTATAAATATTCATTAAAGTCTCAATCTTTAAAAAAATGTGACATATGGTGTATCTTGACAAAATGATTTACCAAAGGCCAATAGATCAGATTTATTACTTGAGGACCATTTCTTTGGTTCCGTTTTTGAAACTGTAGAAAAACCTGAATTTGCACATAAGTGTAAGCAGCTTTGGTGGTGCAGAGGTTACACACTTGATGGCTAACATGAAGGTCAACAGGTAGATGCACCCACTGCTCTGAGGACAGAAAGACCTGGCAATCTCCTCCTACAAAAATTTCTACCTACAAAAGCCCTGAGGTGAATTTCTACTCTGTTCTCTAGGGTCACTAGGACTTGGACTAGACTCTGTTGTATTTATTCAATAACAACTTATACAAACCAAATAGAATGAGACTTGAGAGTTTATTTTGCCATTTGTTTTAAAAATATCCATAGACATCACTTATAATTTTCATGTTAACATGCCCATTAAGTTTGTGAGACTAATTATCACACAATTTATATTTTCTCCTAATATTAATTTAATAGAAATCAGTTTAACAAATAACATTTGGCCTTTTAAAAAAGAAAAAGAATAGTTGAATTAAATCCCTAAACAATGCTTTTTGATGAAAGGAGTTATCTTTATTAATTTTTTATTTTCTTCTTTCTTATATTACTATTATTGTCTTACTACAGGTAAATTAGAAAATATAAAGAAGCAAAACATTCAGATCATGTCCTCTCACATGTGTTACTATTTTGACAGATAATTTTCTAGGACTGCAATATAAGACTATATTGTCTAATGTACTGTGATTTATTTTTTCATAAAGTATGTTTTAAGCATTTTTTCTAATCAAAATCTGCATGATAGCATCATCTTAATGACAATATATTAGTTATTGTAGTTTTTTTTTACTAATTCCCTATTATTGAACATATAGAACAAGGCTAAGGATATCGTGTTTCCATAACATCTTTGCTTTCTTTAGTACCTTCACTATACTTTTACTAAATAAATTTCTTTATTGTATATTTGTTCCTTGTTATATATTTACATACAGACAGCTGTAAATTTAAAAGCACAAATGTTATGTGTCAATAATTTATCACTATTTTTATCGAATTGTCATTTTCATTTATCAAGATTTTATAATTTTTATTTTTTTGTTAAATTGAAGAGATTTTTGGTTTTGTTTTTTGTTAAGTTGAAGAGGTAAACCCCACCTATTTATTGCCCTTCTTTTTGCTCACTTGTTCATTGCCATCAAGTGAGAACTGATTCATAGCTGACCCGTCTAGAGGCATTTCAAGTGCATGAGAGGAGAGCAGTGGTAAATTTGAACCACCTACTTTTGAATTGGCAGTGCAGGTTTCTACCCACTAGATCATCCAGAGCTCCCTTTTCTGTCTGTCTTATATCTTTATAAAGATTCTTAACTTTTTGCAATCTTTTATAGATAGATTTTTGTAGATACATAATTCTATAATTTTTAAAATTCTTTTTTCCTAAAAGTGTAAATTAAAATTTTACATGAAGAAATTGTTAACTTTACCATATTTGGTTTTGCCAATTGGTAGGAAATATGTGATTAGAACATCTAAGATATTTAGTGGGCTGCAAAATAAAACCATCTTATAACAGATAAGAGTTTCATTGTTCACAAGCTGGTATTTATGTGCCCTATTTCAAAATTTTTAAGCTGCTTTTGTAAAGAATAATGGTTCCACACCTTGTAATTATCAGTTAGGAAAGGGATAAGAAGAACAAGAAGTGAAGAGACATAATTAGTGAAATTACCAGTCTTAGCTCTATCAATGAAGTGGATAGATTCAAAGTAGACAGTCCATTTTCTCATAGACCTGTAGATCTTGTCAAGGAAAAAGACTGTAGAGAAGCAGACAAACCATACACCTTCAGATTTACCCAAGATCAGGAGATAAATGAGCAGGACACCCTCTTTCCCACAGGACACTCAGGTCTCTCTGAGGAGAAGCAATTTTATAAAGGGTGAGATGGAGGCAGGTCCAGTACTCTTTCTAAAGCATGTGGTTCCTGGTTCTGAACTTGTCTGCAACCTCTTGGTTACCTCTTCACAATAAGTACAGAAACTTGGTAGCTCAACAATATATTTCATGTCTGTTAAATAAAAATATGGGTTGTACCATATCTTTGTCTTCATTTCATTCTTTTAGTTGTTGTTGTGTACCATCGAGTCAGCTACAGTTCATAATGACCCTATGAACAATGGCTCTAATACCTTGCCCTGTCTTGCTAACTTCACCATCCCCAATACACCGGACCCCATTGCTGCAGTTACTCTGTCAGTTCTTCACCATCCCCAATACACCGGACCCCATTGCTGCAGTTACTCTGTCAGTTCATCTCTTCCAGAGTCTTCCTCTCTTGCTCTTACCTTCTGCCCTTGATATCCTTCCCCAAGGACTGGTCTCCCTGACAACATGCCCTAAGTATTTGAGATAGAATTTCAAGAATCTTGCCTCCAAGGAGCAACCTAATTTCACCCTCTCTAAAACAGCCCTGCTTGTTGTCTTGGCAGTCCATGGTATGTTCAGTACTCTTCCAGCACCACAGCTCAAAGACATCGATTTTTTTTTAGGCTGTTATTGTTACTCTTTAGTACTCTGTAGAGGCCCTTGACAGCAGATTTTCCCAGTGTAGCTTTTGATTTCCTAACTGCTGGTGCAAAGGATATTGATATTGGATCTGGCAAGATGAAATAAACCAATGTCAGTCTTTTCTCCATTTACCATGATGCTGCCTGTTTTGTTTTCTTGATGTTGAGATGCAATCCATATTGAAGGCTGCAGTTCTTTTAGTTTCTTTTTAATAGTTTGTGAAGGATACTTTGAGATATTGTCCTCTTTCCAGAACAAAAAGCTTGTAAAGTAGAAAGAGAACTCAAGAGAACTTAGCCTCTAACAGGGTTTAATAAAAAGCACTAGAACAGAGAAAAGAGTTTACATGAAGGAGAAGAAAATCCAGTGAATTTGGAGGGAAGAAAACATTTTTTTTTCATTTTTTTAAAAATTATAATTAAATTTTATTAGTTTTAATGAACATTTACAGAGATTTTGGATTCTCATTCATTCATTGTTGCAGTTTTCTCTACCCTCCTCCCCAGTTCGTTCTTCTCCCCTCCCCCCCCCCAAATGTCTGTTTTAATTGTCCAATTGCCACAGTGCTTGTCAAAGCCAGTTCGGATTAATCTCCTTTGTCAGTGGGTCCTTTGCCATTCCCTATCACTCCTCCCTGAGAGAGACTTCACCTTGATTCATAAGAAAAAGGGGATGGTGTATTCTCTTAGCTACTACCTGCTGAAGAGGGA